GGATACGGGATTGATTCATAGAGGAAAGATGCATGAATGGCTGTTTGAATAATTGATGCTTGTATTGATGGATGGATGGATGGATGGATGGATGTATAGTAAGATAGACGGGCGGAAGGACGGATAAATAAATACAGGTCAAGAAATGTGGTACAGGATGGATATGTGCATTGTTTTAGAGATTGATACGCTTATGTACCGACTGAATTGATGGTTTGATACGAATGCGTGAATATGCGGTGGAATGCATGAACCGTTGTCTCGCAATCCGCGAGCATAGTTGCCAGTATACAGTAGAGTGGACACAGGGTTCATTGCATCGCAAAGGAATCATCGCATTCCTGATTGCATCTACCGCTGTTCAACCAAATGCCCAACCATTCCAAGTACACTATCAAGAAGGACACCATTTTCATTTGTGGCATATTCTCCCTCACTCAGTTTGTTACTTCTTTCAATGCGAATCTACCTCCTTCACTATTCTATCATTCACTTACTATTCAGACTACTGTGCTTGAAGCACTTAAGTGTAATGTCGTTGCCAGAAACGAGGTGTGTTTGAGTACTTGGGTCGCAGTTGGTAGGCATCATACAATTAGTGTAATACTAGGACTTGCCATAATAATACCCCATCACTCTCCTCACTTATTGTCAGCCTATTAAAACTGTCATCCTTCCAGAAAACTGAAACGACTGTAAAGACGCTTAGCTGTCTTAATTTAAGATGAAGGCGATCGCTTTTCCGCATCTAAACAACCAACATTCTGGCAAACATTCAACTTGTCTCAATAGGTTGTTGTAGAAACGTCTTTTATTGCTGTGTAAGAGGTACAGCCAACCCACAGACTTCCCTTTTTAGCAAGATGATAGATGAGCTGGGTGGTCTTTACTGCGCGGTTTTCGCATCTGTAGTTTCCACCTCAGAGATTTGTCGCGTAATTCGTGCCCCCTTGTTATATTCACACTCGGGGCGGTAAAGTCTAGCAGGCACGATCAGCTCATTGGTCGTGTGCATGTCAACCAACCTCCTGGATGGTGCCTGCAAATGTGGCTTAGAACCAGTGTTTGCCTAGTAGGCTAGTGCAAGCGATACAAATGATGGCCGACACACAAATTCTGAGAGAGAGGATTCGCCTTAGTGTCCCACACCTTCATTGACAGAGGACATTTTGGCTATGCGACAACGTTACATAGAAGGTGATAAGCAGAAGGATGAAAAGCGAAAAGCCACGCACTAACTTTCGACTTTGCGGGGAAAAGGTGAGGTCCGGGTAAAAGCCTTTTGTTGCCTTTACAGAAAAAATAGACCTCGTCAGTCTCTGTCAGATGACATGGCTCTTTAGCCACGTCTGTAGCCTCACGGTGCTTCATTGCGTCTGTGCTAGCTCCTTCTCCTTACTGCGACTGACGAGAAGACGTAGAATGCCATACTAGTGGCAACTGCAACCGTAGTTCCACAGAACGGCAGAACTGGCAACGTGCCCTCTTTCAATTTTTTACCCCTCTATACATCCTCTTGTCTAGATCGGCGGTTGTGGCTGTTAGCTGGGTATGTGTCTACTCAGATTCCAACCTGCAGTGCCTTCACTCTTCGGTGAAGAGGCGATAATTCAAGGTAGCATGGAAGCAGCGGTGTGACTGTGGTGAAGAGGACGAGAAAGCTACATCCGTCAGTCCTTTGCTATGTCTGCTGGCAGGACTGGCAACGTGCAGAAGTGGCAGAGTCGGCGCCACTTCCGCATTACATTAACCGTGCTTGCAATGCCCTACAGGCCGCATGAGTTAACGCAAATGTTGAACCGTCTGCTGCATTGCCGAAGATAAGGCCACAATTTTTGCCAATGTCTTGACATTCCTCATGCTTCGGCTGGCATTTGTTCAGTCGGAAGGCAGATGCACGAATTGCCACAGCACACGTCAATGCTTGCTTGTAGTCCGCTTACCACTCCTTCCCACCGCCTCCCAGTAGGACGCTCTTCTCCTCTTTCGACATGAGCAGCTTGACGAAATTTCCTGCATTTAACTATGATGTTTGGCAATTGAGTTTGGTGAATAGGGAAAGGCTATGAAAGTGAGGGACAATGACTACCACAGGCGGCTCACTGGAATATTTTTCATTCCAAGCGGCAGATTAAAAGGAAAGAAACGAAATATTGCGTGCTCCTATATAACCAAGTAGCTTACTTCTCCGTCGACCTAGTTTAATCATCGTCGTGAGGCGCAGAGCTGACAGGGCATTGCACGTGGTTGGCATTGAGTCGACGGGGTGAAGAGTTCATTGTGTGGAAATATCTGCCAAAGAGCGGAGTAGATTCTGATAATAGAATAGTGAAGGAGGTAAATCCGCATTGAAAGAAGAACAAACTGAGTAAGGGAGGATATGCCAGAAATGAAAATCCTGTCCTTCGTGAGAGGGAACGTGGAATGGTTGGGCATTTGGTTGAACAGCGGTAGATGCAATGGAGAATGCGATGAGTTACGGATCCATACCCGCTAAACTCTATACCAGTTTTTCCCATTCAGCTCCTCCCCCCCCCCCCACCCCCCACCCAATAAACATGTCGAAATCATGCCGACCTACTTGATCCACGAGTTGAAGGAATGGAAAGAGGATACCTATGAGCCTCTTCCTATGTACACATATCGAACAAAAAGAGGGAGCTAAGGCTGCCGGCTTGGCGCTAGTGCCAACCTACGCCACGCGGCTGCAATGCCCAAGGCCCAAAGTAGCTCTTCAAGGAAAAGATTTAAAACAGCCGGTGTACTGCAAATTGCCTAATAAAATAGCCATTACATTTCAAGTATTTATTTTAAGGGAAATGTTATTAAAGCATTGACTTGTTTACAGAATTTAGCTAGCACATATAGCAATTAGGTATTTAAATTAGAGCAGCCTTATTAATTTTGATACCCAAAATAATTTGAGGAAAAATTTTTTTGTGCACGTTATTATATTTCTTGGAATTAAACTTTTTACCTTACCATTCATAAGCGTGGACAATAATTTTGCGCTCAAGTCAAACTGCTGTTGTACGCTTGAATGAGATGGCGGAGTTCGGCAGCTGCTTAATAGGATAAAAGGTGTGGAAGCATTTTGCGCCAAATTATTTGTTGAAAAGCGTGCTTTGTTGTCTTATTGTGTCTAGCCGGCATACTTGTTTTGTGTTGCTTTCTTGGATTGCATAAACTTACTGTTTAGTGCGCTGTGATTTTTTTGTGTATCAAATGGACTGTCAGTACACGACGAATAGTGTTTATTATAACAGCGTTTTTCCATAACTGCGTTGATGTGACGTGAAATAAGTGCAGCAATTTTCTGCACTCTTTAGTTTTGCATCTCATTTTACTTCACTTCTCTCGTCACTTTGTATTGTGCTCTACTATTGCTTCACCATGTTTTCGTACTTACACCTTTGGCCTTCCCTTCCCTTAATTTACAACACATCCCGGGAATTTCGCCTAGGCGTTTTGTTGCATTTGTTGTTTTATACATGAAAATTTAAAACGTCTTTTTTTGTATTCTTTCTCCTTGTATCCCCGTATTCAAGGGAGACGAGTCGTTTGGCCTTCCGTGGTTCCTTTCAAGCAATGGCTGTAGTGTGTCAAGAGTCCCCTAGTGGACTCATTTCCTAATAAGATATGTTGTCTGTGGTTTAACGTCCCTACCCAATATTTCGGTTCGTGTGGTCTCCCCTTGTCCGTGTTGTGGAACCAATCACTCCGCCTAAAGGGAGCTGCGTTTCTCCCTAGGTGCCCCCTTTCCTCGGGTAATGTTGGTCAGTGACACCCTTCTCTCCGGCTTCATTGTATCGCAACTGCTTGGCTGCGACTGTGGCGACGCCTACGTCGATCCCATTCAATGTGCCTGTCTCCGTCGCTGCGGTGGCCTCCAACTATCATCCTGACAATCGCATTCTTCTCCGATACACATCAACACCTCTCCGCCGTCCGATCTACAAATGCATCTCGTCCCTTCTGTCATCCTGCCTCCTGCACAAACTGCCTAGGTCAACATCGTGTCTACGACTTCAGTGCAATTCGGAGTCCGCAAAATTTGCAAGGGTCTGGGCGCATGGTCTGTGCGGAGTATTGGATGGCGAACTCTACATCAATCCCAGTGAGGCTGGCAGGATGTGTGGGAACCAGGCCAGTGCAGTCGGTCACGTGTACATGTCGGCATTTCGAGAATTCGCTGGGGAGGCAGTTGAAGTGGTTTTCGAGATGGTGGTAGACAGTGTGGGAAATGGAATCGATGCCCTTCCACCCACCAGTCTTATCAACCACGCCTGTGACCCCAACTTAACTGTCATTCCCGTTCGTGTTGACTCCCTGGTAAGGGTGAGGAGGTGCCCTACGACTACGGTGAGCGGTGTGGCAGTGGAAAGGCGTGTTTGTGTGGCAGCCAGGCATGTCGTGGATTCCTTCCAAACCATGATTAAAACAGGAGATGTGCGCCTGCGTTTTTGTGTATTAATATTTAAAGAAGCGTAGAGGGGTGGGGGATGGAAAAGGTCAGCTGCTACGGATTGCACTTGGAGGTTGATTTGGTCCGCTCCTTGTTCTTTGGAAGAATGTGTGCTCCCAGCGATGCATCCGCGACGTAGATGTTGGCAGTGCGCGAGTACATTGACTGGAGTGGGGCAAAGAAGGGCAAAAGCAGTTGGAGGTAGCATCGATAGGGAAGGGAGGAGTGTGGATGACTTAGCTGGTGGTTTCACTTACGTCGATCGCCGTGATGAGACGGCTCACAGCATCGGGTTTGATGAGGACTACCAGTGAGCCGCCGAATCCGCCACCAGTCATGCGGGCACCGTAGACCCCGTCAGTTGACATGCAAATGTCAATCAAATGGTCCACCTCTTCGCAGGACACCTCATAGTCGCACCTGAAATGGAGAAGAAGCGAGTTTCAATGCTGCATGGTGAGTCGTGGTAATTGGCGAAGTGCGGCCGACTTCATGGAGGTGTGGCTCTGTTGCATCAGCTGACCGAGTTTCATGCAGTCGGCGGTTGTCATGGCGTCAACAGCGTCAAGAACACGTTGATTTTCCGTGAGGATGTGGTGAAGTCGTCTACCGGAGGTTAAGCTTACGGCTTCACAGGCTTCTACGATGGTGAATGAAGGTGGTGAGTGGACTTTGAGGCCAGTGACAGAACTTACCCGCACATAATTCCTCTAGCCGTGGCAGTTCCTTTTGCAGATCACGGAGACTGGACACCTTGAAGTATTTTGCCAGCTCCTCACATTCAGAGCGACGAATGCGATACTGACCGGCGGCAATGCGATGGTGCACCCCGCTGGCGACGATCACCACCTTTGCCTTACCCTCAAAGTCCATCTTCACGGACTCGCAGTGGTTAGATCTGTGGGTAAGTGGAGGCAATCTCATTGTTGGTGGAATGCGCCTCTTCTGTAGGACCTTACAGAAATGGGCCAACCAGCTGTATTAGCACTGCATGCTTGACAGTGAATGAATGTCCACATCCTGTGGTAGGCGCGTGTGCTTAGATTTGCTCCCTTATCGCAGCCATTTAAATTAGCGCCTCCATTCGCTTGTCTGTTCAACTTTCCCATCTAGCTGTCCACCCTTCCTCCGCAGTTTCGATGCACCAAGCACAGATTCCACTTATGCCTTCTTCCTGTGGCTCGGATTTCGTGTGATTCCACGCAAGCAGTCTCGAATCTTCTCGAATTCTTCACCATTCACACGGGGCAAAATTACAACTACTTCGTAGTCAAAAATCTGCCTTACCTCTGATCAGATTGGCGAGGCTGTGCTCACTCATGCGCATTTTGCCGTGCCGACAAGTTGGGGATGTGCTTTCTACCTAGATGTAGCTGAGTAGATGACTTGATTTCACAATGGGCATACGCTCGAGGTTCGAGGCAGTTCAAACCTCTGGACAGAGAGACATTACCTGCAGTCGATAAAGAGGGCGTGCCCACGGACACCTCCAAGACAGGCAAGTTGGTCCATCAGGCCGCACGGTGACCCGGCCCACTCGTGCTCGGCGCGTTGACAAATGAGTGCGCTGTCGGTTAGCTGGAAATAATACGTCAATTGTCATGTTAAAAAATGAATCACGACTGTGCTCATTGCAACCATATTTCCATCCTAACTTACTATCACCTACCTGCCCCTCCGCATAAATCGTTCATGCCACCTGAATGAATGTAGACCCAAACGAATTACTCCACAGTGTTGCGACCACGCCCGCTAAGCAGCACTTTCTCTTCCCCTTTCCAAAGAGGTCAAATAATAAGAAGGTGGGGCAATACGGCAGCCAATGTCTTCAGCTACCCAGTTTTGAGTCTTGTAGACTGCTCGAGGAGGATGAGGAGGTGCAACCTGTTGCTAAGTCAGCTTTTACCCCACCCCGATAGCTCCTTCTGCATCCGTTGTGATTACTTTTGGAAGATCATCCAGCGTATGACGTACTACTCCAAGCAACCAACAAGACGCTCAACCGGTGGTAAACCATGACGACCTCATCATTTAAGGGGATTTTGTAGTTGCGGGAAGACGAACGATTCCGTGTTGCTCCATCGATCCCCAGCCAATCACAACAACTCACATCAGCTGAGTATCAGCAGTCTATGCAAATAACGCTCTAATAAGCCAGACAAGGAGCAAGAATGAGTTAGCTGCTTTTGCCAACTTACTGAAAAGTTATCGAAGTCGGTGAGTTTTTGACAGGTGAGGAGGGTAGCCACTTCCAAGGACGCGGAGCTAGACAGACCCTCACCGATGGGCACACTGGAAACCACAACAGCATTGAACGCCGGCAAGCGAGGCGCTCCGGATTCTGTGAAGGCATAAAAAGCAGTTTTGAAGATGAAGTCTTTCAACCTCAGAGCTACCCTCGATGTGGTCTGCTGAAGTGACTTGTTGCGTCCTCGGGAGTACTTGTCGCATGCGTGCGACTGCTTGTGTACAAAGACAACCGAGTGCTCACCAGTCTACTGATACGGCAGCCTCCATCTATGCTGCTCAGTTGAACCAACTTGATAAATGCTACCCGAACCCGGTTCCATAGTCGCAGAAGTGGAACTTGCCACTTAGAAGCGGCCCAGAAAATTCGGTATTTGTTTTGAGTCACGCAATGCCCCTTTACTCGTGATGATGAGTCCCATGTACCAAGCGCAAACAGTCGCCGATGGGCTGCCAAGGCCAGTAATTAGTTACTCACTTCTTTCACGTAATTAATCGGTTACCCTCTGACGACTTACTCACATTCCATCAAAGAGCCCTCCCAGAAGATCATCCTTGATTTAGGCTTGTGTATGTAAGCGTGTGGCAAACTACCGTCTCGACTGTTACATAGGAATTTTCTGATTTCCTAAGATCCGTGAAACCACGGTTAGGTCCTTGATGGACGTAAAAGGTGGGTGAAAAACAAATCGACTTTTGAAACTGTCAGGAGTAGTCCAGCCAATCAGGAAAAGGTTTTCTCTTCCAAAGTAATCCATGATCTCGTCTAACCCTCGCAAGTAAAGGTAGGAAACGAGGTAAATTCAAAGACTTGTGCACCGGGTTTGGTCGAGAGGCAGCATGCCAATCTTTGATGCAGCAACAGTTCCATGTAGTTCGATGGCACTGTCAAATATTGCCACCTTGACGCTCTTCTGTTGTCAGGGTCCATTTTTTCTATATTGCCACGAACAAAAGAGAAGCTTGAAACGGCCTTGTTATAAAAGGGTCGCCAATTTTACACGCTTTTAGCAGTTTGCCTGCGGAGAAGGCGACTTCATATGTTGGTAAAAAAGATCTAAAATCCTGTTTTAATTAAACAGGGGTGTACTACTAGTAAAAAGCAATTGCTTTTAGTAGTCTACGTTGGTCATATTATCAATGGTCAATATTGAAGCAATTACTTTTAAATTATTTATCAACTTTGTAATTAATTGGATGTCGCTCTACGTTAAATTTCACATTTTGGCATGTAAAAATTACCTTCCTATCCCAACTCCCCTCCCAAAACTCACGTTGGAAGACTGCAATGACGCCACGAATGTAGGCGGACCAGCGTTCCCCCTTGGCCGCCGTCTTCTTTTCCACACCGGTCAGATTGAAGGTCACCGTGCTGAGCTCGCCTTCCTGCTCCGACATCGTGTGTATGCAACAGATGCCCTTGTCACCCTCCCCTCCTTTCGGCCTCGACACCATCACCGTCACCATCGGTAAGGCCTATTTATTGCCAATAAAGAGACTGACGCAATAAAACCAACATTTGACTGTATATTCCGTTTTTTGCATAATAGACCACCAGTCCATTTTTAATTGGTCCATTTCAAGGTTACTAGGGGGTGCTGGGATTCCCTTTGGTTTAGCCCGTAGGTTACTCATTTTTCATTGGCTCCTGTAGTCTTCCTATCGGATTACTTGTTCCTCATTCCACAGTCTACAGTTTGCCAAGGCACCTCCGAAAAAATAGTGCCAAGTAATTCTCACGTGATTAACCATTATTGTTAAAGGTTTCAGGATGGAAAGCTAGGGCAAGTTTTCACATTTTTAAAAAGGCAGATAAGAACTATAAATTGTATCAGCGGAAGCCACCTGCCACCCTTTCAGAGTGACTGACGTCAACGAAAACCCTTGTCAATTGCATCCAGCACACAAAGCAGTGGTGCTTGTTTACAGACGGTACAAGTCCGGCCCAAAAACTACTTCCTGGTTTCTGTTTGCCGAGGTAGTGTAGGCCTTAGCACGTTCGTTGGTAGGATTCAGAGGTGGTTAAGGGCTTCATTTTTGTTCAGCTAACCAATTCAACCGCTACTACTGATAAACTAAGAGCCGGTGTAATTACCGCCAGATAAAAGCAGCGCCTCTTCTTCCCACCACACTATTTGATGGAATCAGTTGTCACAATCAAAGGACGCATGTCACAGTAAACATTTTGGCATGATGAGGCCCAAACACGAGTCTAAGGTGGAATTTTTTTATGAAAACTTGCCCCACAGTTTGGAAGTCAAGCGATCTGATAGTGCCTATTTCGTTTTTTTCATTCTCTATGTGGAAATGTAGGATCTGGTGAGCGCTTTACATGTCTGCCTACAAAGTCGTATCAGGTTTGAAATTCGTCTGATGTGATATGTATGATTGACCTCTCAGTCTCTAACGCAGGTTTTATAAATTCTTTTAAAGGAAATAGAAGTCAGATTATGCTTCCTTATACATGAGGAATTCATATTATCGCTTAGCTATGGGCCTTACCGCCCCACTTAAGTAAGTGGCTCGTGAGGAATCAATCCAGTCCTAACTTGCAACCAGAAAACAACTGCAAGCGCCAGATTATCTACAAAATCCGTAATTTTTGTAAACCTTGCTGCAATCACTTGACTTAATCTGAGGGAGGTTGCCAAGTGCAATTCTTTTACTCGGGTCAGGAGAACCCGACCTCTTGGATTTTGTGATAACCGACTGGCTTGTAATAAAATGGGTTTACGTTACCCTTAGTTAAACAAAGGGGCCACCCAAACGTCCCATGCACTTGTTTTGTTTACAGTAGACGAAATTGGCCTCTTGATGAAGGCGAAACATTTACGCCTGAGATCCATCCAGTTGATAGCATATAACTCGAAGGCGCGCATGGAAAAGTCTTGTCACATACATCCAGGACTAGTCAGTCAGTCAGAAGAAGGCTCTTGGCATTTGAGACACCACATGACCCTATTCTTGCCTTAAGGCAACGCTCTTGGGAAAATCCCAAATCGGAGTGGGAGATGGATACGGCCTTATCTGAGCCTTCATATTTCCCTTATGTTTATCACAGTGATTACCGTCTTTCCTTGGTAAAGTCGGACATGATTTGGGGATTAATAATGAAATTAAAAAAGTAATGGTTGAGACCAGGATGCCTGATTCCAGAGCCAATTCCATGTCTCTTTTGGGAAGCTTCCAGTTATCTACTTATTTTGCTGATTTACAGAAATGGGCCACTAAAGGTTTTTTACTAGTAAAGCAGTCCTTACGAATCCTCACCATGGGTAAAACGTAGCCCTCATTGTAATCCGTATGCTCACCCATCAGATTCACTCGACCAGGAGCAACAACGCGAATCGAGGGAATGCAGCCGAACAGCTCGATAAATTTGTTGTCAGCAGCTTCTAGAAGGTCTGGAAGTGCAGGAACTCGAACTTCTGGCATTCTTCTATAAGAAATGCGGTAAAGAAACTCACTGCCTCACTAGATCAGATTTTTATTGGTTGGGGGTGAAGAATTGTCCTCAATTTAAATGAGTAATTTTTAGAGAATAAAATAAAAAATCTGGGCCATAATTGAATGAGGATTTATTAAAGTGATGAGAGTAAAATCCTTGCCCCATGAAAACAGATAGTGACCTCAACTTGTCTTTAAAGTCAAGGAAAACAAATCTAAGTAGGTATGTACTGATGTTGTAGTTAAAAATTTATCCTTTAATAAGATTTATCTATTTCCAAAACCATCACATTTTGAGCAACTTTTATTCCTACTTTTGCCTTCTATAAGAAATCGCAAATGATCACGTTTTAACACTTTGTAACAAATTGGGTTATCTTTAATGGTACAAATAGTTTTTTTATGTTTGTGTGATCTACGTAATGAAGAATACTGAGAGAATGCACTAGACTTTACCCAAATATTGCGAAAAAAGACTAAACAAAAATAGAAAATTAGATGGATGGGAGGATGGATACGGAACGGATGGATGGAAAGCATACAGCTTGGTCGAATAATAGCAGGCAGCTTATTCCACTCTAACGCTTCATTATAACTAGCTTGTCAGTAAAACTGGATCCACCAACATATTAAATGTATCAAATAACTAACTCAAGTTGAATAAATAAATTAAATAAAATTTGATACCCGTCAAAAAAAGATCATTATATTACTAAAATCCAGCCCTGACTTTCATTCTCCTTGAAACAAAAAATATCTTTGGTATTTTCATAGGTGAATAACAAAGACATGAGTGAACTAGGGTCCACACAGTGCTGTTGATACTAGAAAGAAACCCACCAAACTAGAGAAGCTCTACACGAGAAATGCCAACGCCTATCCGTAATGCCTGAACTGGTGTGATTTCACGGTGCTCTGATTGGCCAGTCAAGTTTACTGACCTATTGGTGTTGGTATCACAATGGTTCCATAATCTGGAACCAAAGTGAACATTTTGTGCTTGATTGGATCACGGGTTGAAAAATCTGGTAGATTAAAAGCTTCTAAATCGCGATTAGTCAGTTCTGCAATTATGCAATATTGAGAAAAAATAAGGGGAAAGAAATTTGTGTGAATAGAACGGATTTGTTCTTGGCGAAGTAGATCATAAGCAGTTGGCTCAAAAAAATTATTTGAAATGATTACCTTCTAGGCTTGAAGTCTTTCAAGGTTTATTAAGGCAGCTCTTAACAGGCCCTTGTTGTTCACGAGGAATTCAAGTGTTTCAATTTTGAAGTAAGGAGGAAATTATGAAGGAAAAGAGTAAGCAAAATACTATGGTACATTAACAAGATAATTAGTTCATTTTCTTTTAAGCCGACATCCAGTTATTGGGGGTGGTAACCGCGTTCTGAATTAAAGGCGATGCTGACGGGTCTCTACACTGCTCGAATAGCTCGCGTGCTTCTAGAATGGGTAACTGGAAATCCTCGTGCTCGAGCAACCTCTTAGCTCTTGGGCCACTACATTAACCGTTTCCTCAAGACAACTATCAAGAAGCAGGTCCACACTATCAGTGACTGGATTATGGCCCCTGTCAGGACGTTTTAAAGACCACCTAGGCAACCCAAACAGTTATTTAAGAAGCTTAATAAAGGCTAGTGGTAGCTCTTTTTAATAATCTACACCTACAGCTGTCGAAAACATGTGTGCCAACAAAAAGCTAAACTTACTGATGGTTCGACACCATCGGAATTTGTGGATAGCCCAGCTACCACTTTATCCATTATTTATAATTGCCTTAAGGATAGATGTTCGCACTTTTTCTTAAGCGGAAGAAGCCATCACGCCAAAAAGAGATATCATTGCAGTCTAAACTAACACCCGAATGTTTATTTACGTACCTACTTGGATTGGAGAGGGTTCAATAGGTGCCTTCACGTCTCTCCCTCTCACCAGCACGCAGACTTGACATAAACAATCTTCCATCTGTGGAGGTTGCTTTTTTCTGTCCAGTTTATCTCGCCACGCCTCGCTTCGCTTTCTCTGACTGAACTCGTCGCGTGGATGTGCGCGTGAGTAGTGTTCGACAAGTCTGCCGATCAATAGATCGATTGATTGGTCGATCGATTGGCAATTAGTGCGATCTCTTTAAGGCGTTCACTTACCAGCCAATCAGAATCGCGGAAGACGTTAACTTAGTGGGGGCTTTTTGGAAGGGATGCAATATCTGAGGAAATTGGGGAGTATCACGGATAAAAGGAGACAGTAGATAGAGCTAAATCCTTGTGGAGGTAGTTGTGCGCAGTACACGGCGGATCCGGAATTACGCAGTCGATGTTTACACACGTCATTAAAAGGTGGATGGCATAGCACTCCACTAAGTTGCTTACATCTACGATGGTGGATGACAGGTCCTGGCTTACGAAGTCAATATGATCCGGTTTGTGACATCAGCAAGGACAAAGACACGTGTTTTAATGTTTTTTTCGTGGTGAAGAAGCTTTAGGTTAAGCTAGAGATTTGGAGTTTGTACAAGAAAATGAATAGTTATTTTTAAACCAGAGGGCTAACATTTTATGTAGGGAACGGCACCTTTTCCTTCTGTCCTGATTATGCAGACAAGCCGCTAGTTCTACAGGAAAGCCGTAGCAACAGAGGCTTCTCTGCAGCCAGTGGCCTCCAATCAGGTAGCAGTGACCTCAATGAAGCATCCATCAAAACTTAAAGGCAAGGGGTGATGAAATGACAGCTCTGCTGAACCATCCCACAAGAGCTTGCCTTTGCCTCAACATCGGCATAGGGGCACCCAGAATGCTACCATCATTCTCTTGTCAGGGTTAAATCGGAATCGGCACGCCAGAATATTGTAAGATATCAAAATTCCTCTGTTGTCATGAAGACACTTGTCATTGGCACTTCTCGCTAGCGTACAAACAAGGCAATATGGCGACATATTCCAGAGTAAACGAAAATATTCTTGACTGGTAGGGTTTTCACACATTCGCACCTTTGTTTACCCATGCACCCACCCTGTAGATACAACAACGTATTTCCCTATCTGTCCCGTCATCAGCCTGACATTCTATTTATCAATGCACCCCCTCACTTCTCCGATTCATCCACCCGCACAGATGCGCTCGGGTTATTCACCCATTCATCCTGCCATCTACCGCTGTAACGCAGCACTGTTCAATCCTAGACTGCTGTCCCTCGGAGCATTCACAAAAAGTCAAGGTCTGCCCCCAAACCCAAAACTAAACAAGACAAGGCTACTGCTAAAAGCCCCGTCCAACCAAACTGCATCAATGGATCTATACAGCACATCAACGATTCCTAATTTCATTTCGACTTACTAGGTACATTTCCAGCTACAAACTGTACAGAAAAGTCGTAAAAACAGGAGCAGCATAACGGACTAGGAATGCGCGCGGCATCTTCTACTTGAACTTTTCAAACATTGGACTGCTGAAGTGATCCCGACAGCGTTCATAGAGCACCTTCAGAGCAGCGTTCTGAATGATCTCCTCTTCCAGGGTCTCCGATTTGAATTGACGTAACTAAACGTAGCACAAAAGACGTTAGAAATGAGAACGGAAGAGAGTACGGCTATGAGAGGAATAAGTAGGCGGCCTGCACCTGCAACTGCTCCTTCCGAATGGCAGCAGGTAAAATTGTGGAAGTGGGGTCCTTTTCGTACCTCTGTTTAAGATCGTTTACACGATTTGTTGAGACGTCAATGCAACGCTTGATGGCTGTGAATCGGCGCTTGTGTAGCTCAGTCAACTAAGAGAACAGAATAAATGCTACTTAATTTGTAGTAAGCAGAATCCCTATACACCTATCCAAGACCTGACACACCTCAATGTGTCATTCTCGGACATCAGTGAAAAGTCAAAATCGCATATCTACTTATATTATAAGGTAATAAATTCACTTGCAAAACTCTCAATTTTGCACTGCTCTCACAAGGCGGTAAAGCATTTAAAGAATAGTATATAGAGGGGCAATATTACCAGATCAGAGCTAACCTTATCAAAAAACAGGGAACACTGCTTTGCGGCATCAACAGATTCAGAGAAGGAAGCGGTAGGCAGAGCTGCGTTCAGTTCATTGTTTATGCGATCGTCCGATTTACGCCAAGCGTGCAGAAGTTTCTGAAGCCAATAAAATTCATATACTGGAGAGGCTGATAGGGCAAAAGAGATTTAGAACACACTTTCTGAAGAGGAGATCAAGCGAATATGGTGCTTGCACATGCATAACATATGCTGTCAATAACTTCTAACTAAGCATATGTGATCATTTAAAGGATGGGAAAACTTCTAACGTTAGCTGCGTAGGCCTGCACTCGGGGTAGTAACATGTAATGCAGATATGAAAAGTTATCTGAAATTACGCTAAAATGAAGGAAGTCGTCACATGGAATATCATCGGCAATTTCATCCATGAATCAACAAAATGAAAGGCCACGCCGAATGAGGCCAGCCAACAGATTTAGAGGAGGCGGGACGTAAACGAAATAGATAAAAATTTTATTAATTAATTGTGCCCAAAATCATTCAAAGAGCTAATTTGAAAAGTCTGGATACTTTATTGCGCATTTTTGTTAAAGTTAGATACATTAATAAACATTTAAACTCGTTTGTGATTAATACAAGCACAAAATCTGAAACATCTTTAGCAGAGAAAATAGCATAAAGCTGTGCAAATTCCTGTAAAATTATTACAGTTTTTTGGCAGCTAATGTGTGATTGGCAAACAGCAAAGCTTGCAGCTGTTCGCAAAGCTTGGAGGCTAGGCTACCTTGAAAAGTTTCAGTGCAGCGCTCAAGTAAACCCTCTACAAAACCAATAAGCAAAGCACAAAACTAGCGCGTTGCCTCATTGTTTTACTTTCTTATACATTGGCGATACCAGCAGGCGGCCTAATCTTCGAAATGCATATAAAATAATCGTTTTCAAAGATGAGGCATTTGCTAAGGCGTAAAGCAAAAAGATTTTAATTTGAAAAAGTATTTGAGCATTTAATCTTGCACTTATTGTTTTGAATTTTACGGAAATCGATCTTATTATTCACTCGATTTTGGGTTTTCTTTTGCCTTCTAGTGCTGTCTTCTTATACATTTACGCAACAAACTTGCAAAGATTTCAGTGAGCAATCCGTAGCGACTGAAGTCAAATCTGGTGGCAATTTCACACTTTTTATATTTGTTTAATCTAACTGATAGGATCCGGGAATTTGACTGCGTTTCGACAACTGCGCGGCAACCATAGCCTTGTTTGGGGTGGTGTCTAGCTCATTGTGGTTTATGAATACTTTCCTCTAACGTCATTGATGCGTTCTCGTCGTGACCTTTCGCGTTCTTCCAGCAAAGGCTGTTTGAAAAGAGTGGTTATCGAGGGTTTGAAACCGCCTTTCGACAAGGATAACACTATCCGCACTTGGCTTGCAAGATATGGGACCGTTGAAGGCAAGCACGTCTCTGGATATTTAATCCCTGCAGATCACTTTTGATTTGCATTCTCGCATCATTCGTTACGACTTTGGGGCAAAATTGTTTACTAGTTTGCAAACAGCTCTGCACTTCTTCACGCACCAACTTCATTTGTCGTTTGCAGAGATCGAAAGATTTTACAACAGCCTTGTCGTCAAGTTCTCTTCGGAACTACAGGCAGCAGAAGCGGTTCGGTGTGAGAACGGGATTCGCAGCTCAGGCTCTAACATCAAGGTGCACCTCGCTGACTCGGAAACAATACGGCAGCTCATTCAAAGGCATTCCAGACGGAAGAGGTCTTTATCGCAGCAACAGAGACGCAGTACTAGTTCTAGATCAGAGTCGTCCACGAGACCTGCTCGCAAGCCGTGAGTGTCAAAATGGTCTCATTATTTTTCGTTTCGCCGCCGTCCTTGGTGCTCACAATGCCTTCGTTTTAGACGCACTGCAAATAACAAAAATAACCATCCGCTAACGTGGCTTTCGAATGCTGCTAATCAAGCAGGGTGGACACTAGAATTCAACTACTTTCGTGATCCACTTCGCTCATCTAAAATTGTATTTATTTTGCCCTTCTCAAATCCTCATCTATGCTACTGACTCGACTTGTCCTTCATTGAATATGTCCATTTAGCTGTTGATCTCTTCTGCCTTCTCTGTGCATCACTGGCCTAATTCTTTTTTCCTTTTCCTCCCTATTTAAGTCTACTAACTTTTACTTGTTCCATCATCAAAACATATCATTGAGGATCGGATTCCGTTGTCGAATCACTAAAACTTCTCTATTTGCGAAAGTATGGTAGGAAATTATTTCCTACTAGTGTCCATCTTTAATACGAAACTTTTGAGTTATTGTCCGACCCCCCTTTTGACTTTGATGCTATAGGTTTCATTGAGGTCTTTCCACTCGTCTTTGTTAAAATCTTAGCTTGCTTTTTAGCATTTAATATGAAAATGGCATTTGCCTGGCTTTTGTGTGACTGGTGGATCTAGAAGCGCCCCTAGCATCATTCATTTTAGTCCTTCCAGAGCTCTGAACATAATGCAATTCCTGTCATTTGAACGGAAAAGTTCATTCCAATATAATTCCCCAAACTTCATAAAGGCCTTGAAATACCTGTTGATTTTGCTCAACAATGAAGCGGGAAAAACCCCAACTTTATATCTTACCAGCTATTTGAGGAATCGGTCTAAAATACCACCAAGTATTTTTTCATCTGTTGATTTTTGTACCACGTCTGTACCTCTTGTTAGCTGCATCTTCCAATCCCAGTGAAATACTTGCGCCTAAGCTAAGCCCTCATTTTATTAAATTCGGAGCACTTTCCTTTTTCCCTTCACTTCAGTTGTTCGGAAGTGATTAGCTTTCGTCTTTCCCTCCGAAATTCGGAATCCGGTACTCTTTATCTACTGGTCTATGCTCCTTCTTGCGCGCACTCGACGGTTTAGATTTGCCTTCGAATATGTTAGTTTCCAGTCCATTCAGGTCACCAGCAATAATGAACTTCGTTAACGAGTTTTCGCTTCTTCCGCATGTAAGTAGCAAAGCTGGATTTTATTTGTTAAATTCAACTGGCTGTTTTCTGACTTCTCTTTCGCATCTGGAGTTGGATCGCACAAGCAGCATTTTATGTAACAATAAACACGTTAATTTTGTATTTCATCACCCAGCCAAAGGTTTGATTAATGGCTTTCCAAAAAGGGCTGCCCTGTGGTACCATGAGTTGTCTACTGTTCACCCTGATGGCATCATTACTTACAGCTGCCTCCCCTACCTACAGCTCAGGAAAGAAGTTTTGATGTACGCATTTTATTTCAACTTGAAGGTACCTACTTCCTCCTCCCTTTCCGTCCAGTCGTTTGAAAACGTTGGGCTCTCGTGGCCTAGATGTCAAGAGCCAGGCGCCCAAACGCGAATCATCAGCTCAGGAGTCGAGGGAGGCAACGACTTCGGCACAACCGCAACATCAGCGTCATTCTCGTCAACGCTTCTCCACTTCTCAAAGTTCCAACGAATATGACGTGGCTGTATTGGCCATTACGCACGACCTGGTGCAGTACGCGGAAACGGTGCAGGCTCTGCTCCATCGCCGCGCCATCGAGGAGGGAAGCTTGCTTTTAGACCACGATCGGCAAAAGCAACAGCAGCAGGAGGTGTCGGAACTGCATTTCCGCTCACCCAGGGTGAAAATCATGGTATTGATGAGTGTGGACCATATCGCGCCCTGTATGCAGGACCTTGGGGAGGAGGGTGTGCTCTTCGCCATCCTCCTCAACGTCGCCAACATGACGCACAACTCGTGCACTCTTCGTATCCTACACTCCTCTACGCAACAGGGTGTGTTTTGTATCGGTCCGTTAGAGCCTAAAATCTAGGCTACATCAAGGTCCTTGACAGTTCTAGATCTGGTTGTCTGGGCCCTATAATACGGTCACCTATTTGAGTTCTTAAAACTTAATAGCTTTTCGAGGGTTCGTAGTTAACCTGGTTGGGACTTTTAGTGGGTGTTTATAAGTTGTGCAAAGCCAACCTTCTAGCTGATTATTTTCTCTTCTGCAATCTTCTTGGTATCAAATGCTTCCACTTCGAATCTGGCCCTAGTGTCCATTCGAATCTTTTAACCCATTCCACTTTTTGGGGTCAACATTGATTACACTAACTTTTTGTCGAGGTGGTGTCAGTCTAATTGAATGCATGAAAGGTACGAGTCTCTCCACTTTGAACGTCTCAACATTGATCCATTGATTTAACGGTTCCGTTTTGGGCTAAAGAAGTGAGAGCTTTACTGCCATCTACAACGAATGCTTTCTGAATGCGCGTCTACCTCAAAGGTTGCTACCACCCTAACTATAGGTTGTCGGATGTGAGCTTATAAAATTATAGCTTCAAATATACCAAACACTGCCAATTTGGGCGATATCTGTTTTCTCGGCTCGCCTTCTAGTGCCGAATGGTTTGTTTCGTGTGGTAAAGCCTCGCTAATGTGTCATTTCGACTTGGATTGTTGACCTACCCAGACGTAGCCCTTGAGATGAGTCCACTCTCTTTGTTACTCAGCTGACATTTATCCACCCCCTTTATTCTCAGGTCAGGTACCTCACGGACTGACTCATTTTCAAGACCATAGGCAAGGACGAAATTGGCTACTGAAAATGTAATATGGTCTACCAGTAAAGTAACATAGCACCCAATTCATACTCACAACCTTCCCGCCTTTCGGTCCATCAATAGTTTAATGCGCTATATCGTTTTACTAAATAGCTCTCCATTCTTCTGAAGGTTGTCCCCAGCACCTCTCTATGATTATTTCTCTATTTCAATTGTCACAGGTCTTTTGAAACGGGAAAGGTGGTAATGCGATGAATTCAAATCATGAGGATGACGGTATTTTATACGAGGATTTGGCTTATGTAGATTTAGGTGTGATACTCGGATATCTCGTCTTTTGGTAGGTGAACAACAATGGAAGAAAACCATTGGAGTTGTACCATATCTTCAATAGCCCGTGCGCCTATCACATTTCGTAGTAAAATTTGCTTTAGATCAACATGAGAAATAGAGTGACTATGATATAAATAATTGCTCACGCACAATGCGTGGTTTGGCCTTGGAGAAAACGGTTTCTGCTCATTGAAACTTGATCCTGCTTCGCTTATAGGCGTTATACAGAGCACGAGATCAGAGCTTAACAAAACTTGATGTCCTTTTGACAGCCCCTTCTTGCATCTCCGCAGCAGTTGTTCTCTCGGTGACATTTAAGTGTGGCATTCCGCCAGTAAAGTCTAGATCTTTCCCCGTCCGGCTCGAGTCAGCTTACCATTGCCACCAGTGTAAAGCTAGACTCATTAATTCAAACCAGTGTGAAGAGGGGTTAACTATTAGCCTGGCCAAAAGCTGTGACAAGTACATTAGTACAACGCTGTGGTGATTGAAGCCTAAGGACCTTTGAGACTCCGTGTAGGTAAATATAAAATCCCGGTGGTGGTTATTTTAATACTTTTCACGCGGTGGCAGCATGCTCCGTCGCGAGTGATAAAGATCAACCCCACCTCCCCCCCCCCAGTAATAGCTGTCAATGCCGCCTGTCCGAGGTAACGCTTCGTTAATCGCTCAGTTCCTATGCAGTTCCCTCTGTTTCATAATCGGAGGATTTAATTGCTCCACAGAACATCGCAACATGCCGCTACCCGATGCAATAGACCTGCTTTTGCGAGACTTCGCTGATTACCTGGAAGCCGAAGCAGCTTCTTCGGCTGGCAGCGTTGCCGTTTTGAAAGCATCCTCCCCGCTTCCTCTGCCGGCACCACTATCACCGACTTTTCAACAGCATTTACAACAATCGCATCAGCAGCAAAGTCACCAGCAAACGCATCACCGTCGTCGCTGTTGCCGTCATCGGCATCGACACACCTCCCTCTCGTCCCTCTCCACTTGCACCTCTATCTCCTCCTCATCACTGTCCTTCAGAAGTGCCTCCTCCTCGGCCACCTCTTCGTCAAACCACCTGCAGAAATCGAGGCGAAAGTCCCATCAGTCGCAACAGCAGAAGCAACTCCGTCTACACCATCGCCATCACCATCAACAACAACAGCATTCGACGAGGGAGGAGGCAGATACATCTGTAACGGCGTTGGGGGCAGAAACGATTCCAGCACCGGACGATCCCAACTTCTTGGCGCCATCGCGTCATGTCGCAGTGCTTCTTCGCATGCTAGCCGATTCGCGCATTCTCTCGGTAGGCGAGTTGGACGAAATTTCCGCCTTCATTGCTCAACGCCGTGCACGATTGACCAGCGAACTCACTGCAGGTAATGTTTGTGACAGTAACAGTACTTTTTTGTAGCCTTTAAAACCCATAGAAGGTCTAGTTTTTAAGCTTTTCCGATTGATGTCAGGGTCAGATGTTGCACAGTGGTCTGACCAGCGATTGGGTTGGATGAAGCGTTCATGATCTATAGGTGGCTGGATCATGGAAGGTTTGAGGCACTCAAGTGGTTAAATATACTATCACGATTTGTTCTCCCATGTGGCCTTTTCGTCTTGGAACCTTCCTTTTTGCCTCTTCACTACTTAACTCGGTCTGCACTTTCAAAGCTTCTACCTATACGAGAGAGCATTCGATTCAAGGAAGAGAAAGGAACTATTTCATAGATTTCGATGGAACCATCCATTCTCGTCCTCTTTTCTGACTGAATTTTAACAGTTCATTTTCTCTGTATTTCCCAAATCTGGTTGATACGTCATGACTTTTGCATTTGTAACGTACCACTTCTCGATTGTATGGAAATTTGCCTAAAAACCGAGGGCTGTTTTTTAACAAAGCACGCCGCGCCACCCTCCTTCCAGTTTGCCGAATCAATATTTCCCAACCGTTTCGCGGGGTCGTTCTGGACTTCGTGCTTAGACTTTCTTCATTCTATGCAATTATTCGTCTATGGACATTGCTCACGGTGGAAAGCTCGATGCAAGTCGAGATGACTGTTGTAGGTTCCTTCTCGCACTGGTTGTGTGTACTATCTGTCCAACACAATCGAGTTTTCGTTGCTCTGCCACCAATGTACCGTCTGACCAATCCCATGGGCAGGGCTGTTATAAGTCTGCAGAGGAATTGAATGACTCTTAAGCTAGAAGAACTCCATTTCACCGCTTTGGAAGCCTAATCGTGGCGCGTTGAACTTGACGACACCATGGAGGCGTGTGTAGTAGCACTGACTCTCCACTATTCCACGCAGGCGTAAACTCCAATGCGGCTTTGAAGGCCCGTATCATGGAGACACTCTACCCGAGCTTCAGAGGCGGAGGAGGAGGGGGCCATGTCACTTCGACACCCTGCACAGCACTACAGGCTCGATGCTCTCTACCTGCCAATCTGGTCAGAAGTTCAACTGATGTGGTCAGGTGCGCAACTACTGCTGCTGCAGCTGCTGTTGCTGCTTCCGGTGCAGCTACTGTTCCTACTCAAGCGCCATCTGTGGGAACGGCTTGCCCAAAGTATTCTAGTCTTGTTTCATTCCTCAATCCTCCTAACCTTCCCCTTCCAATTCCTTGAACTTGGCGTTTATTCTTTTTTGCCTCGTTTGCTCTTTTCATTGCTGCGTTGACTGACGACTGTTATTTGAGCTGCCACTTCTCAACAGCAAGATTGTCAATAACAACCCTTGGCTGGAACACGATTTTCATCCCTGTTGTTCTGGGCTAGGCTGATGGACGGGGCGGAATGTGGTCTTTGCAACCTCCCCAAAGTCGATAATCGAACTGTCTTTCCTCCTCCTCCTCCTCCTTCTTTCAGCCGAATCATTGGTGCACCGCTTGCCTTCCTCACCCCACTTATACATCGACACATCAGAGGCGTTACAGATGAATGAGACGGCCTTCTCAAGTGCCAGCGAGGTGATCGTCACACCAAACGTTGGACCAAAGGAGCCGGAGTTTTTACACAGAGAAGCACTCCCCGTTAGCCGTTACCAGGCCATATTCAGCGACCCGTCTAATCGACGTCGTCTGCGAGCTCACCGCGGCTTGAGAGGAAGGTTTAAAAAGAACGGATCCGAATAGCGTCAACACAATGACACCTTACCAATAATTTGTGTGAGATTGTCAATTATATCAACTTTTTTGAAATAACCATGACAATATGGGTCGAATTGCTACCGTTTATGTTGTTGTGATGGCACGAGTAGTCACACAGCTTTTGTAGTGTTGTAGTTACGCGGCATTCTCGAAGAAATGTTAATGAGTCCAAAGGTCGTTTGTCTTTTGACACACTGATCTCTGTTGCATTTTTCACCCACCTTGGTGTTGAATTGAATAGCGACCTGTTAGAAGGACTGGGACTTCCACAGGACGGCCGATAGAAAGCAGTTAACGGTCGCGCTGGAGGACGAGCTCCTTGAACATAAGTTCACGGTGGGTTGTGCATCAATCGATCTGGGTTGCTTCCAAGACTTCCGCGACTTAGGCTGGATACTGACATTGCAGTCGAAATCATCTTTGATACGACTGACCATCTGACAAGTTTAAACCAAGTGTTTTATCACATTTTTAACGCTTGGAGTTCAAGAGTTACACGAGTTCTTTTTCAAGCAACTTCATAATCACACGCCGCTCCCTTCATTCAGCTGCCATCGTTGTTGAAGTGGACTGGCTCAACTAGTGGCACGTCGTAGAGTCCACTTTAGCGTGCTTGTTATCTATCGAATTAAATGCTCCTTCTTGACATGGAAGGAGCTTCTCAAGACATGTTGGATTCATTCTGAAATAGTTCAAAGTAGGAGGAGTTGCCGAATTGGTAGAACATTCAGTTTTTATTTTCCAGATGTTTTGTCTGTCAAATTGCCTCTAACTGAATACATCGAAACCACTGGCGAGTCAGAATGGACGAGTGTTTTGAGGAGTTTCGTTGGAATCCATCCACATCCATCTTTTTAACCTTCCCTGTCGGGGACGTAGGTCTCTGGTTAGGCTACGCAATCTTCTGGTTTGTCATCTTCATCCTTTGTGTCAATAATAAGGCCATCTGCGGATTCAGGTGTCTTGTCGTCCTCGGGCAGAGTTGGCGAGCTCACCTCATATACTTCACAGAAGGAAGGTTTCCTCTGTGAATGCCAGAGCTTGCGAAGAGTGGGGACAGAAGAGAGGAAAGGACTGCCAGAACTGCGTCGATCGGCTATCGACATATCGCCCATCGGTGGACCGTGGAAGTTTGTGTGCCTCTGGGAATACCTTGTAGCAATGAGCCGCTGTAACTCCATCTGTTGTGGTCCCTACTGTTCCACCCTTCCTTTCTGAATGCGGCTCCACCTCGTCCACTTTAACCCGATTCCACAGTTGCAAGGGCTTCTTGTAACGTCTGTTGTAGAGCCTTCCAGGAAAGTGCTGTAGCGGAGCACACCCTATAGAGGTGGTTTAAAGAAACAGCTTGTATCTTGCTTGGAGAACTCTATAATCCCGATGATGAAGTATCACTATGTACCATCGTTGTAGATTTTAGTCCTGCTTGAAGTGCTGGATGAAGCAATTCATCAACATCCACATAGCCCGGAGAAGTCGTGTAGGTTAAGCTAAACGGTTCCACCCATGCACGCGTCAAAGGTTGGCCTTTCCCTCGCTTCTTCAA